CGTTTCTTAATTTCGTTAAAGTGAAGATTTGGTTTATTTAGTAATTTTTAAATTTGTTTTTTTTTGTTAATTAAAAAAAATAATAAAAAGTTAAAGAAAAAGAATTAATTTAATTTTCTCCAAACACAGGAATTAGCTTTAACTCCTGAACCAAATGCTAGTTGAAATACTCTATCATTCTTTTGTAATAATTCGCATCTTTCAAGAAACATAAATTCATACCAAATTGATGCTGATGATGTATTACCAAAACGACATAATCCTGCACGAGATGGCATACAATCTTCATCAGTCAAATTAAATTTCTTTTGAACTGCATCAATAACCCCTCTTCCACCAGCATGAATACAAAACCCTTGAAAAGCTTTTCTTACATCTAAATTACATGTAACTTCTTCATTTTCTTTAGCAAAGAATTTTTTTACTGAATATGCTATCTTAGAGAAAAGTGGAAGATATTTAGGAAATAGTATTTTTACATTTTCATCAATAACATCTGATATATAATTAATTAATGTTCTTCCTATAGAAACTCCATCTGAACCAGTCTCATCTTCATCATGAAAAATAACTTTATAAGCATTATCATCAATAGCATTGTGAATTCTAACTGTTTCTTCCATTTCATACTTACATTTTTTGATTAATGACTTCTTATTAGTTAAAAGAATAGCAGCTCCACCAGATCTAAATAAAGTGAAAAACATTAGTTTAGATTTATCTGAACCAACATATGTGGGTGCAGTAATATTTTCTGTGGAGAATACTAAAACTGTGCTATTAGGATGACTGCATAAGAAGTCTTTAGCTAAATCGCATGATATAACACCTGCAGAACATCCCATTCCTCCAAGATGCCAATTTTTACATGTTTGTTTCATTTTGTATTTATTCATTAACATAGCACCTATTGATGGAGTTGGGTTGAATATAGAACAGTTAGTAATAACACAATCTACGTCTTTTGTAGGATCAATCTTAGTTTGTTCAAATAATTTATCACAACAAGCTTTCATTACAGTTTCTACTTCTTCACGAGCAAGTGCCATTGACTTTGGGACATATTTTTCTCCATGGTACATCTTTGGAAGATGTGTATGTTGACCTAATCCTGTTACTTTAGCTACTCTAATTACAAAATCTGAACATTCTTTATCTAAAACATTTGCTATAGGACCAAGACATTCTTCTGCAGTGCTTTCATATTCAGGACCAAGTTCTGCAACTGTAAAATCAAGTAAATATACGTGCTTATCAGAAACAAAATAATACATTGTAAAAGCAACCCCAATAATACATGAGATAACAGTAACAACTAATGGAATAATATTTTGTTCATCAAATAGTGGAGCATTTTTGAATAAAGAAGCAACGAAAGAAGCATATAAAGCAACACAAGTGAAAAATAATAACTTAGGAGTTTGTTCTAAGAAAATAACAAGAGGAGATGGATGAATAATATTTTTCTTTAATTTAGGTAAAATTTCATTTTGTTCTCCTTGTTGAGAAGGGTACCAATAATTTGCTTGTTCAACAGACATCAAAGGTATATTCAAATCTACTAGTTCTTCTTTCTTTTTATATCACAACAGACAATCAGGTTTTTTGTCTGTCTAGTTTAACAAAATAGTTATGTAAAACAATGAAAATTAGTTATTCTTGTTATAAAATTAAGAAAAAGAATTTGACTATTCATTCATCTATTGACTATTTTTAAGAAAAATCGAATTGAAATTATCATTTTTCACTTCTTTTTTACTGATTATCAACTAGGGTTCAATATTTGTTTCAAAGAAATTGATTCAATATTAATTACAATAGAATTCTCTATTACTTCTTATTGGTAGTTCCTTCATTATAACTTACTGAATTGAAACTTTGTTTTTGTTTTTATGTTTTCCTATTGAATAAATGAGCTAAAAAAATCAAAACATTTTTTGTTTTATATAACGTATAATAAATAACAAAAGAAAGATATGAACAATTAATTCTTTTAATTTATTGATGGAAGAACAAAACCAAATATTACCAAAGAAATATTTTCAATACCTTCAAGAAAAATTATTGAAATTTAATCCTCAAACAAATGAAAATTGTCTTTGTTCAGGAGAAATAACAGATATTATATCAACAGTAATTCCTATACTTGAAAATGAACCAACACTATTAGAATTATCACCTCCAATCAATATTATTGGAGATATTCATGGATGTTTTAATGAAATGGTTGAGTTATTAAAGAAAACATTAATTCCAAATGCCTCATATTTATTTCTTGGAGATTATATTGATAGAGGGAAATTTGGTATAGAGGTTATGTGTTTATTATACTTATTTAAAATACAATTTCCTAATCAATTTTTTCTTTTAAGGGGGAATCATGAATCGTTTTCAGTTTCTAGTAGAATGGGAATAGCATCATTTCATCAACAATGTTTGTTTTATCATTTTATTTTGATAATAATAGTATTGACAAAATAATAGGTGTTAATCGATATTCTGAAATTATTTCATTACATTTTTTTAATAGTTTTAATTACCTTCCTATTGCATGTTTAGTAGATCACTCAATGTTATGTCTTCACGCAGGTATTTCTCCTGACCTTAAAAATATTGATCAATTAAAAAAAATACATCGTCCAATAGAAATACCAGAACGAGGATTGTTATTTGATATTTTATGGTCTGACCCTTTTATTCCTCAAACAAACAAAACTGATAATAAAACAAATGTTGACTATGATGGGTTTATTCCAAATACAAATCGTCAATGTTCGTATTTTTTTGGACAAAAAGCACTTGATACATTTCTTCAACAAAACCAATTAAAATATTTATGTCGAGGACATCAAGTTGCAGATGGATTTCAATTATCAATGAATAATAAATGTATTACTGTTTTTAGTTGTCCTGGATATGGAACAAACAATAGAGCTGGAATGCTTGTTATAAATAAAGGATTTAAGTGTCAATTTGTATATTCCAACTAAAAAAAATTTATTATAAAGGGTGGGAATTAAATTTATTATCACAAAACAAAATATTTAAAAAAGCACTCAATGAACCTCTAATATTAATTTAATACCTCCAAGAATTATTAATAAAACAACAACGTAAATGGGAAGAAATTTTATCATTACTGATTTTCTATCTATCGACTGTATTGGTTTTATTGTTTGTGACAACGTTCCATTAACAAAACACTTACCATCACTTTGAATATCATCAATAGACCCTTCAACAGAAACGTTATTTACTCCAAATAATGTTAATTGTTGAACAGTTTTTAAATGAATATTTTGCAATGGAGAGTCAATGACCTTCATAAGAAAAACATTTTCTGCTTTAATTTCTTTAAGGTTATCACAACAAACGATATCAACAATATTCATTGATTCTGCTGCCTTTAAGTCAATTGTTGTAATATTTTTTGAATATTGAATATATAATTTCTTTAATTTGTTTTTAGCAACATATTCAGGAAATCCAAATGGTTGTTCAACTTCAAGTTCTTCACAATTATCAACTGGAACGTATGAACGAACAATAGAAATGTTTTTTGCATGTAAGTCAATTGTTTTTAATTTACCAGTTATAAGAATAGAATTAAAAATGAATGATTTCATCTTTAATATTTTGTCATGTTCTCCACTTGCTTTTAATTTAAGATTCATTGGGAAATACAATTTCCATAATTGTGCTGAATAAAAATCAAATACAGATGCTTCAAATGATAAATATGTTCGTGTAACACCAGATGGTGTTGTAATTCGTTCTGGTAAAACAAAAGCCTTTTTTTGAATAAGAGATTCATTAATTTTAGAATTAAATCCACCTATTTTTATTTGAGGATTAATTACATATTTTTCCACTATTACTTCATCTAGTCCATGAACTTCTAATATTATAGTAGTATTCTCAGGAATAAATTGAAGTAATTTATCAAAAAATACTAATAAAGGAGTGTGTAATTCAATAATAAGTTTTTCTAGTTTTAAATCTTTAATTCCAATAGCTAATGTAGTAAATGCTCTTACATACCACCCACTTCCAAATTTTATTCTAACTACTTTTGTTGTTGGAGGAACTTCAAGATTTTCATCCTCAAAAACTTCTTTGTTATAATAATTCTCTTCTTTATGTAATTCAATCTTTTCTTTATATTTCCTAGAAACTAATGCCAGTGATTGTATACCATCACAATACTGAATAAGATTAGCAACTTCTTCTCCAGTAAAAGGTGTCATAATTATTATATTTTAGTTCTTTCAATTTGGGTTGAAGTACAACATGACGTGGCAAGTAGAAAAGGATTAACTAAGATAGCTTATTCTTCAATTATTTTAAAAAAGTGTTATACAAAACATTTTAATTATTTTTATTTTGGAGAACCTATAAATAAAACTATTCAAGTCATTTCTTACGTCTAACTATTACTAGTGGAGTAGGTTGTGTACGCTTAGGCTTTGTCTCATTCTCTTTCTTGGATAATAATGAAATACTTTTGGTGTTTTCTTTGTTTGAAATATTTCTTTTTCTTTCAAGGTTATTTCCTAAATTATTTCCAAACAATCTAAATGCTCGTTTGATTCCATCTCCAATAGCCATTTTCTTAGACATCTGGCAGGCAACCCCACGATCCTTATCATATGATGTTGCAACACCAATATCCTCATGTGAAGTTCCATCTTTCAATTCTATTTTTACCTGAGCAGAAGAAGTAACCTCAAACTGACCATTTTCATATTCTATTGAATCTATAGAGAATGAAGTAATATAATTTGACCAACCATCATCACCAAATATATTATTTGCCATTTCTACAATTGTCCACCATGGAACATAACTAATAATTCGATTGTTTTCATTATCTTCCATCGCTTTAATGACATCTACAGGTGTGTTTTTCTCTAACTGTCTTTGAATATCAGTATGATTATCAAACAACTCAAAACCAAAATGTGGTTTTATTTCATGAGACATATTTGTGTTATTTTTTGAGATTGTGTCTTTTCCTCAATAAAAATTCAAAAATAACACTTTTTTGTTATTTATGAATCTATTGTGTTTTATATAAAAATAACAGATTAATGTATTAAATGTTTATAGTTCTTAGAACTTAATGACGTGGATTTAAAAAAAGATAAATAGTAAAAATAATTATAAATAAATTATTTCAGAATAAAACCGAGATTAAAGAAAGAAATATAAAGGGAAACCCTTTATAAAATACTCAACTAATCAACCATGGCTATGATGAACACAATTATTACTGCTCAAGGAGAAGAATTTCCTCTCCAAGGAATGACTTTAGTTCTTAGACATCTTGCTCTTGAAGGTGATCAAAAGACTTCTATTTATTTAATTACTAAAGATGAAGATGATAAAGAAGTTAAAGTTCTTCTTGCTACTCTTTCATCAGCTGTTCCACAACATTCATGTGAAATTCCAATCACTGGAGAAACTGTAAAATTAATTTGTGAAGGAAAAGCTAAAGTTCATGCTATTTTAACTCCAGAACTAGAAGAAGATTTTGATGATTTTGATATGGACGATATGTCTGAAGATGAAGATGATAATGGAGAATTTGCTGAAGAAGGTGACGAAGAAGACGAGGAAGAAGAAGAAAAGCCAATTGAAGCACCAAAGAAAGTAGAGCCAAAGAAAGAGGAAAAGAAACCACAACAACCAAAGAAGGAAGAAAAGAAACCACAACCACCAAAGAAAGAGACAAAACCACAACAACACCAACAACCAAAAAAAGAAGAAAAGAAACCACAACAACCACCAAAGAAAGAGTTCAATAAGAAAGAAGGAAAGAAAATGAATAAGAAGAATAATAAAAAACATTAAAATTGATTGATTTTTCTATTTATTATTATTTTATTTTGTTAGAAAAAGAATGAAGCATTAATAAAAAGGTTTTGATACATAATGAATTTATTACTTTTAGCTTTTCGTTTTCACTTCAAAAGAAAGAAAAAAGAAAAAACAAAGAGAACTTAGAAATTATTTAATATTCGTGTACTATGCAACAACTTGAACAACTAGAAAAACAACTTGAATTATTTGGGCAAAAGGTGAATGAAATGGGAGAGTCATTAAAGTCACTTTCTATGGTCCAAAATGGTACTGAAGAATTAATTAAAAAAACAAGGGCATTACGTGAAACATCACAAAAACATCATCAAGAATTATTAGAAGCATTAAATAGCCATCAACAAACTATTGAAAGACAAATTAGTGAAATTCGAATTGCAATGGGATGTAGTATTGCTGGAGAAAGAAGAAATCCATTGAGTGATGAAGACATTCAACGAATAGAAATTTTAACAGGAAAAACAGCTGGGGAAGTAATATATCAAGCTTCAGTTGATGGATTTAGTAACAATCATTTCAACGAGAATGTTGGTGGAAAAGAATCAATTGTATTAGTTATATTTGATAGTGAAGGAAATGTGTTTGGTTCATATAATTCGAAACAAATTCCCGAAATAAAAAAAGAAGAAATAGAAACTATTCCAGCAAAAGGGTTGTATAATGACAGTGACCACTTCTTATTTGTATTAAGAAAGAAAGGAGTTTCAGATGTAAGAAAATTTACAAGAAAAGCTGATGGATACTCGTTATGGGTATTTGGTAGTATTGATAATCTTCTTTCAGTTAATGGAGCATTTGTTTTAGTAAATGAATGTAATAGGTCATTTGATTCATCTATTTCAGGAAATTTCCGAAGAGAATATGATGAAGACATGTTCATTGATAAAAAGAAATTTATGGTAAGAGATATTGTTGCTATTTCTTTTAATTAAACCTCCTTTCCTTCAAGTTTATTTGATAGTTGTTTTTATTATTTATTTATTATTCATTTTATCAATAATTTAATTAAAGAACTTTTCTAAAGAAATTTTACTTTTCATGTGGTGTTATATTAAATCATTATTCGGATTTCCTCAACAACAACAAGGCAACTCTCTTCTCTCTTCAATGTATGGACAGTCATATATTACAGTCCCTTCTGAACTTGCAACGACATTAACATTTTCACAATTAACCCTCCAACCTTCTCAACAAAAAATTAAAAAGGAAAAAATTACTTTGGACAAGGTGTATAACGAAGCTAAACCACAAAACCCAACGATTTCTCAACAAATAAGACGAGTTGGAAAAATATTTGCTGTGTTATCTGAAGACAGAAAAAAAGATATTTTAAATTTAATTAGTCCATCCTCTGCAGTGATTATAAGCAACCCTAGACTTAGAATGAAAATGATTGAGAAAAGAATTAACCAAATGAATAAACGCATCAAACAACTTGAAGAAATACAAAAAGGAAAAGATGTTGAAACACAAAAAATAAAACTATAATTTATAATAAATAAAACTATATTTTATTATTTTTTATTTAAGAAAAATATGAAAGTAATAAAAAATAAACTAAAAATTAAATAAACAAGGGTATGAGTTCATTTAATACTTGTAGAATTCTTCCAAGCGTAGCAACTAAATTAATTGATATCTGCAATCGTTTGAAAGGAGAAAGTGTTGTTGGGTTATTGAGTGGACATCGTTCATTTGGAGAAATTTTTGATGTTATGGATATTATTCCAATTTCTACAGTTTGTTTTCTTTAAAATTCATTTATATTGTTATAACTTAACTTCTAACGATATTAAGAACCCTAATTGTCAAATCGACCCAGAAGAAATTATGAAAACCATCTCTTCTCATATTAAAGTATTTGATGAAGAAATGATTATCGGCTATTTCCAAGTAAGTTCAAATCTTCCCACTCCACAAATTACTAACTTACATAAGTTCTTCAATGAAGCACAAAAAGTTCCATTGTTCATTGCTGCAGGATGTGATTCTACTTTTAAAATTGTAGCATATACTAGTACACTCCCAAGCGAAGATAAACCTGTTGAATTTTCAACTACTGGTATTACATATCCTATTGATGCTCTTGACCGTATTGTTCTTGCTACTCCAGTTGAAATTATTAAGAATTGATTTTCAGTGTATTGAACTAAAATAATATGGTTTTTAAAGATAAAAAACAATTAAATTAACAATTAAATTTAGAAAAAAGAAGATAAATACTATGCAAGAAAAAAGAAGTATTAATAGAAATAGCTTCTATTCTTTCTTATTCATCAGAGAGTAATCTCGTCACTTCTTCTACTATATCTACTGAGTATATTTGGTTGTGATAGAAGCAATATTCCATCACATTCTTCATATTCTTTATTACATGTTTTTAACTTCTTTCTCGATGTCAATCTC